TATATATATATATGACGTTAGGAACATCCATCGACAGTCATCGTGGAAAGTTAAATATGGAATTGTTTATAAGAAAATAAATTAGAAAGCAAGTTGAAAAGTGTATTTGGATGATATAGCATACATCCAAATACATATATTCGCTGGATGATAACATTCCTTCCAACAAAGATTGAAATATCTTAAAAGGTACAATATTCTATTCTATAACAAAATCCGTTAATGAGTATTAATGAGTATTGGATTTTTTTAGTGTGATTTTTTTAGGACTGTGATATACAAGTTTAACGTATGTTGTATGTATAAGTTGTCCCGTCCGGGACACACGTCGAAATAAAAATCAGAAATTAACAAACAGAACAGCTAATAGAACAAAAGATTAAATAATGAAAGTAAAATAGTTGAGACGACCAAAGTTAGTTAATGGACCAATAGTCGTGCCGAATGTTTATATTTGCGATTAATCTTAATAGTAATTCAACGAAGTGAAAATGAGAACGAAGAATTCAACGATTCGATATCGAATATCGATTCGTTCGGTGCCCTTATGACCCATCGATTTGATTGCGCGCTCGACGTAGGTGTATAAAAGTGCGAGCGCGGCATCGAGCGCTGCTCAGAATTGGTCTCGTCTACTCGGTGGAAATCGAAAAAGTCTGGAAAATGAAGCTCCTGACGACACTGACCGTCGTCGCGGCCGTCAGCTTCGGTCTGACAACGGCCGATTACAACACCGTCAAAGTTGCCGACAAGGATTTTCTCCTTAAGCAGAAGAAGATCTTTAATCTTTTGTACTACATCCCGCAACCCTCCCTTGTGAATCCTTCCTTGTACGAAGAAGGTCGTTCGTACAACATCGAGGCCAACATAGATTCGTACACTAACACGGTAAATACAAAGTCATCAAGCCTTTCACGATCGTATCACTCGATATCGAGTCCTCCTACGTATATATAGGAATAATGCATAATTTTATAGCTTACGGTGCAATTGGCGCATTTTATGAACTCTGAATATTTAAATTTCCTTTTACGTCGTTTTTGTAGGCTGCGGTGAAGAATTTTCTCTATCTGTACGAGTACGGTATGCTTCCTCGTGGCCAGCTAAATTCTTTGTACTATCCAAAGCTTCGGAAGGAAACGGAAGCGTTGTTCCGTCTGTTTTATTATGCCAAAGATTTTGACACCTTTTACAAAACGGCACTATGGGCGCGTATTTATGTGAACGAGATGCAGTTTGCCGACGCGCTCTACACCGCAGTTATGCGCCGCGAAGATACCAAATACATCCAACTGCCCCCTCCTTACGAGATGTATCCGTACGCATACTTCAATTCCGAAGTACTCGAAAAGGCCCACCACGCAAAAATTTTCGGAAAACTTGGTAAGTTTCAAATTTGTTTCAAATGTTTGTCGCTCTTGTCAATTATCTCACTCGCTAAAAGTCAGGAAATTTGGAACTCAAGGAACCGAAGGAAAGAAATGCGTGCGGTGCAACGTTTCTTCGAAAGATCGTGGTACATCGGGGTACGCATCTTCCGATCGTAGATGTATAAGATGTATACTTACTTGTACAAGTTGTACAAGTATAAATTTTCTTAAATTTTTGGTCATCATATCTTACGAATAGAAAACATAATTTTTGAAATTTTCTAGAGAATAATTTCTTGGTAATAATAAATAATTTTGATATAAACGTTTGACACAGACTCGAAAAAGTTTGGTGGCTACGACACTTATATCATCCCGGCGAATTACTCCGGATGGTACATGTCGCGCGAGTACGATCTAGAGCACAAGATTAATTATTTCACCGAGGACATCGGCCTGAACGCCTACTACTTCTACTTGCGGCATGACTTTCCGTTCTGGCTAAAGGGCGAGGAATTCGGATTTCCGAAGAATCGCGGCGAGGAATATCTTTACAGTCACAAACAATTACTGGCCCGTTACTATCTGGAGCGACTCTCTAACGATATCGGTAAAATCGAAGATTTCGACTGGCACAACGAATTTTACGTCGGATATTACCCGACAATGATCTATCACAATGGACTACCGATGCCACAGAGACCATACTGGAGCAAATTCCCCTATTACAAGTACAAATACATGAAGGTATGGTTTAGCTTCAAGTTTAACCACGCGGGATCTTTGTATATGATACGCCGAAACAAAATCTCTGTTTGTAAAAAAACACTCTTTTCATTTCCTTTCTTATTTCTGACATCCAATACGACGATACGAGTGCGATCAAACGATCGATTGCCGCACTTTTAGGATATACAAGACTTGGAAGCTCGAGTATCGGGAGCGATTGACTCCGGATTTATCTTGGATGCAACGGGCAAGCTGATCAATATCTATACACCTGAAGGCCTTAACATCCTCGGCAACATCATCGAAGGCAACATGGATTCCTGCAATCCTGAGTTTTATGGCAGCATCGATATTTTCGCGAGGAAGATCTTTGGATACAATTTAGAGCCGTCAACTCCGTATCAGATTATACCCAGTGCCCTCGAGTTTTACAGCACGTCTATGAGAGATCCAGCGTTCTATCGTCTCTATAAAAGAATAGCCATCTACTATTACAGGTAATATCTGGAGAACTGTAAGATTTCGACATGTTTCTAGATAAATGATTTACGATTTGTGTGATTGAAATGTCAATCTCCTTTTGATACATCCTTTAGGTACAAAATGCATCAGAAGGCATACAACAAGAACGAAATCATTTATCCCGAATTAAAGATCGAGTCTTTCGTTGTGGATAAGTTGATTACTTACTTCGATCAGTTTGACACTTCGATCAACAACGGTTTGATGATCGATGACGCAAAGGAGGCCGAGAGCACGTTGATTAAAGTTCGTCAATACCGCCTCAATCACAAGCCGTTCAGCTTCCATCTCGCTATCAACGCCGACAAACCTATGAAAGCTGCGATACGCATTTACATCGGACCGAAATATGACGTTCATCACAAACCCTTGGACTTCGCTGACAATTCAAAATACTTTTACGAAGTGGACAACTGGATAGTCGATCGTTAGTATCGATTTTTTAATTTTACTCTATAAATTTTTAGTTTTTAAAATTTGTTTAGTATACGATTGAAATTCGAGTCCAAGTACATGTAGACGGCACGGAGGAAAGCGCCCTTTTAATTTGATTTCCCATATTGCGTTGCAGTAAATGCCGGCGTAAACAAGATCGTCCGAAACAGTCAAGATTGCTTCTTCGCCATACCCGATCCGGAACCAAGCGAGGTGCTGTACAAGAAAGTGCTCAAAGCCTTGGACGGTTCCGATTCCTTCTCTTACGCGGAAAGGCTTTACGGATTCCCCGAACGTCTGCTCTTGCCCAAGGGCAAAAAGGAGGGCATGCCCTTCCAGATCTTCGCGTACGTTAATCCGGTCGAAGGAGAGCCGATTCCCTACACTTCCCGCATCTTCGGCGGTTACAAATTCGATAACAAGCCGTACGGATTCCCCTTGGACAGACCTGCTTACAACTTCCGCTACGATGGCCCGAACATGATATTGAAAGACATTATGATTTATCACAAAGATGAGACAGAGCTGAATGTCACTTATTGATCGACTATTTACGTTACGTTATAATCGTTATCGTTTGATTCAATGTAATAATCTACGATTTTTTTCTACGATTAAACACGTTTAAATAAAGTCTATCTATATGTTTTGTAAATTTAGGAAAGATTGAAGGATTTCATATAAACAAGAACCACCATTATAAATCTTACAACCGCGTCCGTCCAATTAGATACATAAATAATTGAACAATTGCAATTATTTACGACAATTATTCTTAAAATTTTGAGCCTTTAGCGATGCGATCTCCTTACTTCACACTCGCTTGACAACTTGTGCTTTGCGAATAATAAAAATTTAATAATAATAATTGTTAATACGAAAGAAAGAGAAAGAGAGTTAATTAGTTTGTTTTAACAAATCATAAATAGGTAAAAAAAATACTTTTGTGCAGCGCATTATTCTCGTGTAGAGATGCCGTACCGCATTTTTTGTCGCTCCTTCCCCGCATTGTAATTCATGCGGCG